TTTTGACAATGGTTTAAATGTTTATCAGAATAAGATTTACCTGCCCTGATATTTTCTGACCAATCAGACAACTCGTTGTTGGGTTGCTGTCCCTGTATTGGTCATTTTAAAAAAAAAATGCAGTTTTTGGTTATTATCTTGAATATTATTATAGATAGAGATAAATTGTAATCAGCAATAATGATAAGAAAAGTACGATCTACAAATAAATCGGATGACCAAAATTTGTTAATTGACGCTTTAAGGGGTTATTGCCTGTAAAAAAAAAGTTTTTAACAATTTTTCGTTTTTTGTATTCTTTTAAAAAAATCTTTTCCTCTGAAACTTTGAAACAATTTAACCAAACTTGGCCACAAACACCATTAGGGTATATAGGTTAAACGATGTGTCTTATGACCCTGCCTGCCAACCAACATGACCGACATGGCTAAAAATAGAACAAAGAGTTAAAATGCAGTTTTGGGCTTATATCTCTGAAACTTTAAAACAAAAGTATAATGGTTGCCAAAAAAAAAGTTGAATATTCTTTTCATAAGAATAAGCTCCTTTTATATTTGAACAGATGATTTGTCGGACAACCATGTTTAAGTAAAGACAGTGGCGGATCCAGAAGGGGGGTTCCGGGGGTTGGAACCCCCCTTTCTTATAATAAATGCAATTGAATGGGTACATATACATATATTGTTGGAACACCCCCCCCCCCCCCCCGCCCCCCCCCCCCCCCGCCCACACACACACACTTATTTTGGGTTAGGACCCCCTCCTTTTAAAATGACTGGTTCCCCCCTCAATTGGTTGTCAGAGATTCAGACTTCTCAGATAGATGGATCTACTTTTATTAAAACATGTGTACTCTTGTTAGTGACAGTGTCGCATATGTAGTGTTCACGGTGATCGTATACATATTTAACACTTTAAGGTATGGGTAAAATCTGGATTCCGATCCCCCTTGAAGTTAAATGGTTGTTCCCCTATAAAAAAGGACGGTTTTATTATTATCATTTTTTTTTTTAATTTTGTTTTCTTTTCTTTTTTTTCAGTTCGAAATTCCTGGAAATCGATGGATTGCTAAGTACTGGTAATGATGTCGTTGGATATATTGAGGTAATTATGATGCTTCTTAACGTCTGGTGGAAATTACGAAGAAATGTGTTAACTTCAGATAACTTATAATATGGAAGAAAACGAATAAAATAACTTAAAGCAATTGTCAAAACCAAAAGCAAAGAAACAGTAGTTTATTGCTGTTCTTTATCTCAAAGTCACAGTGAGGCATTCAACACTAAGCAAAAGTGCCTACATCATTTCAAGAGACAGACATTTCATAAACATATATAAACATTCCTTTTTATAAACACTTTCAAACAAGAGGCATGTATACTTTTAACTCAGTACAAGCGTGTTTACCCTGTCGTGACTATGACAAAACAGACAGAAAGCTAACGATGAAAAAAAAAACCACACACAAAGTATAGAAATAAATCAGAACGCAAATGTATGCAGACCTCCCCTATTTACCTTCAGTGTTGAATTAATCTATATATTTAAATTTATTATTTTACTTTTAAGGGTTATATTGATCCTGTAGATGTCGCTTAGGTTTTTATATGCTTTATGATATGTTATCTTGTCCACAAACGTCGTCAATTAAATAGAAGACTAATAAAAGGTTAGCTATATTTACATTCAGCATTTACATCATTTAAGAAATAACATTTTAGTATACTTATTCATGTATACTCTGACTAAATTAGGTAAAGTAAGATTGATTGATTGTTGGTTGCTTAACGTCAAGTGGCAACTATTTCATGCATGTTCAGGACTAGTAGTAAAGTAAGATGAAATGTTTTATCTTATTAATTGTTGAAATACTTATGTATCTAGAGTAACGGGAAACAACGACTATTTTAATTACCATTGCAACATGTTTTACTGACCTGGATTAAGCTGTACTCTGAATAGAGAATGATTGACAAAGAGTGCTGAACAACATGAACAAAGAGTAACAATAGTAAAGAATAGAGAAAATGTTATAAAAAATATAAATTAAATAATAAAGAAATGATTTTGTTCGTTTCCGTACCGGTAACCGTCGATAATTTAGTTTCATTCAAAACTTCCTGTTTCAAATTTCGGTTTTCGTATTTCTTCGAGTAATCTAACCAAAATGATTAAGTCAACATATTCTGCTGCTCTATGATGACAACATCATCTACCGTGAATAGAGATTGATTACATGAGAAGAGCATGAAATATCCAAAGCGCGAGAATCGTGGAACACATTGGTACAAAAAAAACATGACTGGATTAAAGAAATTGACACAAGCACGAATTAACTTGTTAGATTTACGACCGTATATATTGAGTTCAAAATGTCGACAAACATGCACATTTCATTATAGCAAGCCCTTATATTTACCCATGGCTGTCGTTTTTTGTTGACAAACAGCAAACACCCTCTGTCCCAACACCCTCAATAGAGTCATTAAATAACTTCTATTTCATTAGGTTAATTTTTTACATTGTAATTATATTTGCATCTTGCATAAGCACAAACCCTATTATTTTCAACACTGTTTAAGTTTTCATTTTATTCTGTACTCATAATACTTGTGTTGCATACCAATGCATTTGCTTCATTTGATGGGGACTACAAACCATCGCTTGGAAAGCAAAATAAATTTGGTGTAGGTAGTCCAACTGAAGAGAACATTTTTTCACGTTTTTGCTGTTAACTATAAATAGGTTTCTAAAGCGGCAATTCCATGTAGCACAGTGGTTGCCAATCAGAGATATTTATTTAAGAATTTTAAAAACTATGTACGATTCCTTATACATGTATATACACGATATAAGCTTATTATTACACGTGCATGTATGAAGAACACGTCACAAGAGGGTTTCAAATGAAATAAAAATTTTTAAATAAAATCCTCCCACCCACCCCATTTTTTTCAAAAATGTGGATGAAAATAATACTAATTAAATTTAGTTGGCCTTATGAAAGTGACATGTATTCAGAATGATAAAGTTATTTCTGAATTTTTTAAAAACAGAGGAAATACAAACGAACAACTGGGGACATGCATGTTTTTAAAGTAATATTCATATATTTAGATGCTAGAAGTAAAAACTCTACACTTGAGATGCCGTTACGAAGGCTTGCAAGATCCTGCGGAACACTTGATCAAGACGTGGATCAAAAGATGGCAGAAATTAAGGGGCTGTCTTCCCAATGTTCTTGTTTCAAGAATGATTGGAATAATCAGGCAGCCCCTTATTATGGAACTCCATTGACCACGATGTTGGGTCATGTTGATGAGGCAAAAATCCACGCTGAATTGTAAAGACTTAAAATGTTTATTGGTAAGAATTAAGAATTTAAGATTTAAATAAAACCATATTGAGAGTCATTTGTATTATTTAAAGATTAACAAACTGAAGGATAATGAATGTATGAGGAAAGCAAGCAATAACTGATTGATTGATTGATTGATTGATCTAATGGGTACCTTTAAAGGAAAAAATAATATGTGATTCATCCTGAAATCTAATGAAAAAAGCAGTGTTTGTATGATGTGCTGTACTCTACAAAACAATGTATTTGGCACCTTCAAACATGTTAAATATTAAAAAGAAGATGTGGTATGATTGCCAATGAGACAACTCTCAACAAGAGACCAAATGACACAGAAATTAACAACTATAGGTCACCGTACGACCTTCAACAATGAGCAATGTCCATACCGCATAGTCAGCTATAAAAGGCCCCGAAATGTCAAATGTAAAGCAATTCAAACGAGAAAACTAACGGCCTAATTTGTGTACAAAAGATGAACGAAAAACAAATATGTAACATATCAACTAAGGACAACCCCTGAATTACAGCCTCCTGACTTTGGACAGGCAAATACATACAGAAAGTGGCGGGGTTAAACATGTAATTATTGTTAGCGGGATCCCAACCCTCTCCGTAACCTGAGACGGTGGTGTAACAGTACAACATAAGAACGAACTATAAAAATCAGTTGAAAAAAGGCGTAACTCATCGGATAAACCCTGCTTCATCGTGTATTTGAGTGGATGCCGTTGAACACTTTCTATCATATTCGATTTTCTTTTGGATTATTTTTCTGTACATATATCATGCTGCATTTTTGGGGTTTATTTTTTTTTTTGGGGGGGGGGGGGGGGTGGGGGTATGTTTTTGTCATGTCTTGATGGCTATACATTATTAGATTTTCTCCTTGTTGAAGGCCGTGCAAGGTGACTTGTATTTGCTGACATCCACGTCATTTAGTCATTAGTAGATAGTTGTCTCATTGGCAATCATTTCACATATCCTTATTTTATTTACAGCTGTACATTGCTAGTTTTTTTATATGTTATGAAATTTAATGAATTTTCATACCAATAAAATAAGAATTTAAAAAAATTGTCAAATTTATTTAACAGTGAGTGAGTTAAGATCAGTGAAGTCTGTAATTGAATACAATAGGTACTTGCTAGATCAAGCTGAAGATGATGTAGACAGATTGCTCATTGCTGATGGTAATATTACTCGGCTCAACAAAAGCTCAATAAAAGTCTTAATATTGAGATTCTTGGGGGAAATGTTTGAACAATTTTAGATTCAAAATGATTTATTTTACAATTAAAGGGTCACGTTCATACGCCTTTCCCTCTCTTAATGCAGTACTAATGCATTGCTTCACATTAGTGGATCCAGGGGTGTTCCAGGGGTTGGAACAACTCTTCTTTTTCGACTTATTAATTAAAAAAAAGTTTGATTATGTGAACATTTCATGGTGTTCCCGAGGTTGGAAAAATGGCTGGATTAGAGCCGGTTTCATTATAATTGGTAAACAAGTCATTTCAAATCTAAATTCTTTATTAACTAGAAACAATAAAGTTCATCAGTATATTCAAATACAATTTATACATATATGGTAAATTATACAATATTAACAATACATATATAAGTAACAATAGGTGACGTCAGAAGTCAGAAGAACATTTTATATTTACAATAAACTGTCTCTAAATTCAAAAGAGAAAAGTATATTTGAAAGTTTTAACTCAAACCTTTTTTTCAGGTCTGTAAGAAGAAGCTAGTATTGTTATGAACACAAGAAGGTGTAGACGTGTTACCCGTGGATATGGTGTAGAGAGAGAAACTGAAGAAAACAACATGATACAATATAAGAAAAATCTAAGTGACATATTGCGAAACAATAATTAATCGCAAGAATGAAATTTGGCGGAAGAAAAAAAAAATAAAAACCAATTGTTCAGAGTGCAATTGCAGGTCTTTCCACTCCACATCACTTTTCTAAATTATTGATGAACAACTTCTTCCGATTGATTCAAAGTAACTATTAGCGTCCTAGCATAGGTTTCTACATACTGATTCAATCAATTTATGGTTTCTATATATATATTTTTGCCTGAAATAAGGGCGATAATTGTCAACTTCTGGTTAAAAAAATGTCACTTCTGGTCTAATGATAGTTAAATTCACACTGATTCCAAAAATATATGGTTTCTATATACTTTTGCCTGTAAAAAGGGAGGCATTAGGTACTTCCGGTTTATTGCAGGTCACTTACGGTCTCAAATGATAGGTTTATATATGTGTATTTAAAAAATATAAAGTTTCTAGGTACTTTTGAATGAAATAAGTGCAAAAATGGCTACTTCTGGTTTCCTCAAGGTCACTTCCGGTTGGTATTTTTCAAGGTCATAAGTCAACCAACATGTTGCAAAAGACCCTATGGCTTTATCATGCACCAAGTTGGAGTAATATTCAATTAATCTTAAATTGAATCATTTCAGGGACAATAACCCCTATAAGACGTCATTGGAATATTTCAGACCAAATGTATCATATCTTAATCACAATTAGGCAATCATTTTACACTAGTTGTTGTATATATATCTTTAAAAGTGACAGAGGAGATCAAATCACAAGGAAAAGTCAAAATTTAGAATAATACCTTGACCTTTGACCATGGCCTCAATTTCGTTTAAATGAACCAAGGACCTCAAATCAATTACCAGAGATCTCTATCACTTACCATTCATACTATACATTTATATATTCATTATGTCAAATACATAAGGGGAAATAACTCTCATATGGAGTTTTCGTATTGCTTCGTTCAAAATTGGACAAACCATCCTGAGGATATAACGAGCAATTTGGTAAAGTAAATTTGTCGCTTTCTTTTACGGTTACGGAGGAGATACACTCACACGGAAAACAGTGTTCGGGGAGATAACTCCTACAAAGAAAAGTATTCGGTTTAGCAGGGTCAATTTCAAAGGCACATAAACTGTTTGATATCATATACAAAACACCTAAGCGACATCTTGCGAAACAGAATTTATAAGCAAGAAATAAAAGTGGCGGAAGAAGATAAAAAAAATAATAATCAGAACAAATACAATAGGTCTTTCAACAGAAAAGTGGAAAGACATAATAATCAGAACAAATACAATAGGTCTTTCCTCAGAAAAGTGGAAAGACCTAATAATCAGAATAAATACGATAGGTCTTTCCTCAGAAAAGTGGAAAGACCTAATAATCAGAAGAAATACTGCATACATCAAAGACTTACATCAATCAAAACACACACCATGCAAGGGCAGAAATTTAATCAGAAAAAAAACAAAGTAAACGCAGGGAATTGTGTATTTTTAATAACATGCTGTTAGTTATTCTTGATCTTGATTTATTTGCTTGACAGTCAATAATAATTTAAGGAGATACAGGATGTACGTTATTCATATAACAACCTAGCGTCACTATAACAAAACATTTAGTTTTCAACAGTAAATGTGTGTCTTTACAAGTTCTCAAACGCCCTATTATGCATAAATTAGTTCGACTATAAAAGGTCTATCAGTTGTACCCAATTATTAAAATGAAAAAAAAAACATTATGAACTATGAAAAGGAGTGATATGTTTTCTTGCATTATCATGCAAAATGTTTGTTGTAAGCATTCACTATCGATATTCATGACATTATGAGATGGTTGGTTACAGATTAGACGGCAAGGAGACAGCACACCAATTATATGAAAAATTTCAACAAAAAAACACCCGACTATATCTATAATATTTTACAAGTTTCTACAACTAATCCATAAATTTTGCATGATGAGCAGACGACAATATACAAGACTGTTACATACACAACAGGGTCCATTGAAGAAAACTTGCAATTGTTCGAAATAATAAGTATGTTGTGACCCAGGAATTGAGAAAGCACAAGATTTATATGTGACTATATGGTTGTTGTAACAATTTTTAACACATAATCTATTAAAAATGACAGGGTTTTGTTATGTAATGTTCAAAGCTGATCGTTTAATATACAAGTCCACAACACTTGTGTTCTGATCAAAAACAAAACCCTGTCATTTTAAAGAACCAAGTGAGCTTTTCTCATCACTTAGCGTCCGTCTACCGTTGTCGTCGTCCGTTAACTTTTAAAAAATCTTCTCCTCTGAAACTACTGGACCAAATAAAACCAATAAGGCCGCCATGAATAAAATTAGAACATTGGGTAAAATGCAGTTTTCTCTGGAACTAAAGCATTTAGAGCAAATATGAGTGGAGTAAAATTGTTCATCAGGTCAAGATCTATCTGCCCTGATATTTTCAGACGCATCAAACAAACCCTTGTTTGGTTACTGCCCCCGAATTGGTACATTTAATGAAATTTTGCAATTTTTTGTGAGATTATCTTGATTAGAATTCTAAATAGAGATAAACTGTCAAAAGAAAGAAAAAAAGTAAGCTCTACAAATAAGTCGACATGATCAAAATTGTAAATTGACCCCTTCCGGAGTTATTGCCTTTCAAAGTTTCTTTTTCGTAAATTTTCGTAAATTAGTTTATACAAAAATATTTTCCTCTGAAACTACTGGGCCAAGTTCTTGATAGATACAGGTACATTTTAACAGCAAGAATGTTCAGTAAAGTAAGATCTACAAACACGTCACCATCACCTAAACAGAATCTTGTCATGAATCATATTCCTGCCAAAATGTGCGTCCTTTGTTTAATGTACACATAGACCAATGTGAGCGAAGGTGAGTAACAAGCATAAATCAATATGGACAAACAACTGTTCAGTTAATAAAAAACACTGGTATACAGAAAAACATAAGATAAATAGGCGAAGGCCCACAATAATATTCATAACAATAATCACATCAACCTAATTATTGACAACATTCGGAATGCTCTGTTTCCCTTTACATCTGGATATAATTCTTTTGATTGTATATAGGCTTGTCTCGCTGATTCTTTGTCTCCAGAAAGTAGAAAACATATACCTACGATATTATAACATTCACCTTCAACCATACAAGGAACTGAAACATAGTTTTTCTTTACCATGTATATAGCCAACTGTATATTCCGAAAGGAATCTCGGTATTGACTGCAATTTTTGAGATGAAAATGACATAGAAATTGCAGAAAATGAGCATAAACAACTGGTGGTATTATACATTCTTCTCCAATTTGTATTAACTCCTCTGGTATTAACGTAGAGGTTTTAGAAAAATACACAAAATCTAAAAGCAAACACTTCCACAATTGAACAAGATCCATACCTCTAAAGAAATGTAAATCAAATAGGTCATAATGAATATCGGACAAATTCAGGAATTGTTGAAGTTTTTCTTGTGAACATTTCAACAAAGAATACTGTACGATATTAAGAGCTGTATTGTATTGTTTTCTTCTGTAGAAAAACGAAGCTAACAACAGCCATCCAGATACAGTATCATGATTTGTGTTCAGTAATAAAGTACTTATACAGGTATTGTCCTGTTCATAAAGAGATTTATTACCGGAATTATCCTTAAATGGAAGTAATTGGTCACATTTGCAACAAAATTTTGACAAATAGTATGTATATAGGATTTTTATTCTTGAACTCTTACTGGACAATACCTTGTATATAACTTTTTCTAAAAGAAAACAAAAGGTCTTCTGCAAGGTGTCAGCCCCAAACATAACCGATATTAATAACTTTTCCACCCGTTTGACATGTAAGCAACTTGACTCATTGATAATATCAAATGCTAATGCATTGAAATTCGGCATTTGTTCTGACTTTAAGATACATTGCCAACCAGAGCTGTAAAGAATGTGCAACCTATTTAAAAGTGTTTTATGCGCATGTCCGTGTATCTTATTCTCAAATAAATTATTCTCAGGAATGAAATAATGCGGACAAACTGAGTATTCAACATAATAAATAAGCCTACTGAAACACGCCATAAAACAAGATATCAAGTTTTCGGGTCTCCATATTGATAAAGGTAGTTCTTCACATATCCAAAACAAAACTGTTTTCATGAAATATGAACAAAGCAATTCTTTGCAATCTACGTCTAAAGCTATAACGTCTTTTAGAATTTTCATTAGTGAATAACATAGTAATTGTGTATGTGTAAATGAGTATATAAGTAGTTTTTCGCCAACGGAAAATGAATCGCGCCATTCTAATTCTTCTTCTGTTGACCCTTTCACACCAACTGGTACGAATAGAACCCCGTGTTTAACAATAGTCTGTTTAACATCCCAACTCGGCCATGAATTGTTGTTTGATCGTGTAATCCATTGTTTTGCTGGTGTTATCCATAATTTACTATGTAAGCAGTATACTAAGTCAATAAATCCATCGGTAAGAGATGGTCCGTGATAAGTCAACAAACCCTCTTTCGAGAATCGTTCTTTAAATAACAGGTTTGAATAGAAGAAATCATTACCTATCTCTTCGCAGTCTTCAAGGATATCCTGGTCATTACTATGCAGTAATCGTAACTTAGTGAAACCTGGGTGTGTATCTTCCGTTTCCAAAGTAAAGTGTATGTTATCAGCATTCAGAGCAATATGTATGTCTTCACGAACGTCAATAAATTTAATAACAACCATAACATCTAAATCACTACCTAGCATCTCAAGTCCCTCTCCAAAACTCCCACTGGTAATTATTGTATGTTTCTTGTCACTTTGTAAATTGTCTCTAACAGTGTTCATCATTCTGATTGATTTAACATGCTCCTCTGTACCAACAATATTCTGACATAGATAATGATATGTTGATGTTTTTGGTGCAGCTGATTCTATAAAAAAAAAGACAAAGCAGTAGATTCACAAAAGTTTAAATCGCTATTTCGTTGTTTTATCTGGCTAACAGGAGAGTCATATTGGCCCTTGCATGCAAAGTCCACATTGGCCCTCGCGTGCAAAAGCCATATCGGCCCTCTTCCGGTTTGGAGAGTCATGTACAATCTTTGAGTATTACTTGATTATGAAGTAACCCTGATGTTTATAGAACTGTTTGAACAGCGCAGCGTTCAAAGGAATAAAAATCCTTTTTATTATTGAAGTGACGATTTTTCGATCCAATTTCATTATCTGAATATGTAGTGAATAGATCAAATAAAAAAATGTTACATGACATTTACCATATCGGTCCTACTGTCATCCCTCTAGAAATATCGGGAAATTTTGCTTTAGCCCTTGGTACGATATGGGAGTCTAGGGCTGATGATACTAAGGCCGATATGGAAAATGCCATGTAATAATCTATAATACAGTACCGTTAGATAAGTCGTGTCTTTCTTAGCATTTCAGAACCAAATTTTTATTTTATCAATATAATGATAAAATAAATAAATGCACCACCCTATGTTGGTAATGCTACTAAAAGACATCTAAACACGGGTAAGTAAACATTTAAATGTTAGTCCGACGAAACGACTAATTACTTAAAATTAGGTTGATAGAGATCTATACATTCGATTAGACATCAGCAAAGGTCACACACTTTTGTTAAGCATATATAATTACGTTTGTACGTTTGTAAATGTATGCCGCTTAATATGTTTATGTTTCTAGAGAAACCAAAGGATTTTTTTTTTTTAGCTTTCCAAGAATGTGCAATATTATTAGAACCTATGTACATAAGCGATGATAATGTGAATGTGAATCTCTGTAGAAACTGTAAACTGTAACCTCATGTATTGTTCAAAGCAACTGTATATTTTATTGGCAAAACATTAGAACTTTGTGTAATACCTGTATTCAAGTGTTGCCTTTCATTGACTGAATCAAGAGATGTAGATGTAGCTGGATAGTTAATAAGTGTATTGATAGTCTGTTTAACTTCATTCCTAATTTCTGGAGTCATCTGAGCTGTAACTTGCGTGGAAGTATGCTGTCCAACGACATACCTAGATCTGCTTCTCATATGTGTCAATACGTCTCTCTGTTGTACTCTTTGGTAAATGATCTCGTCGGACTGATGACTAACGCTAACAGATGCTGGCTTGTTTACCTGTGCTGAGGACCGTAACCTTTTCCTCGCTGCATAAGGACTTTTAGAGGACCCCTTTGACATACGAACCGTTTTCCCCATTTCTGTAGAATGTTTTGTTTTTCAAACTGAAAAATATTACAATAACATTAGTGAAATGACCCTTGAAAAGTAACATTTTTAAAATTGCCAGTCATTCATGACCAAAACTCGTAGCGTTTAAGTGGTGTGACTTATTTATAAACTTCATCAATTTATTCATTATTGGTTTAATTTAAATTGCTTGCTACGTAACTGATGATAGTTTTTAAATCGCAGACGTGCATGCGAGACGTGTCTTAAAAGTGACACTAGCTACGAGATAAATAAAAAATATAATTTCTTTAGTTCAATCATTAATGAAAGTGAAATAGTGAAATAATAATTCTCTTTTAGCAGGTAGAATGGTTCAATTTTGTCAAATTAAGCTAAGAAACATTGATAATGAATTATTCACTTGCAAGTGAATAATTCGGCCTCATTAAATCCGTTTCATGTGAACTTCAATATCACCCCTTGGATAACGATAGAATAACGCATGCATTTTCCGTATACGGTTATTTAAAGGAAAAGAATGTCAACATTGAAAGTGAAACAAAGGTAAATCATTTGACTGACTGATTCGATCCATAAAAAAACATTGTTATACAGGTTAAAACGATGATTAACATATTTGTTTAATCTATAATATAAAATTAAACAGACCTATAAAAATCCAGTTTTATTTATCTTTATTTAAAAATCTAGTTGCACGAGTTGCTTAATCTATTTAAATCTATATTTATGTTTACATCGCTTATATGGTCATAGGAGGTCAACTCGATAGTTAATTAGATGGCGTCTAGACTAAAATACACACGAAACGAAGCTACATATTATTGAGACTATGTCATGTAAATTGTTTATTTTAGACCTTTGATAGTTTGAAAAAATGCTTTAAATTGTTATAAATAAAATATGAGAATTTGAGTCAAATAGGTGAACATGAATTTGACAGCTAGTGTCAATTTAAAATCCCTGTGCGTTTCCGTTTTATTCAAAATTATGCGTTTGTTACAATTTCTATTTTCTGGAAACGAAATTCATTAATTCATTAACAAATTAAAAGCTTTTATGAAATATGTAGTAAGTAATTCTCCGTAATCTTAACAAAAAAAAATAAAACTAAATCATTAACACTAATTACTGGATCAATACCATGTTATGAAACGCCGTAACTGTCTTATGGTAAGAGTTCCATATGACAATCCCACCCAAAATGTTGTAAAAATATATTTAATTGATACATATTTAATGTACAATAGTAATATATTTGTTTTAAAAGGTATTAACCAACATTTAAGGAAAATAGGGGTGTCAATCAGAAATAGGGGGTGTTATTATTGGTTTCTATACATTTCCTACCCAGAACCCAATTTCCGTCCAGAACTCTCCCTCTATTGTACTTTCTTTTGCCAAATTTAGCCTCGTCTATTTCTACGATTAAACCGGGTCTTCCAATTTTCTGTTGCTTGATATTTTCAACGGCATAACAACAAATTTCACGACACTAATTGTAATAGTCATTTTCAGTTTCTTTTGAACTTTCTAATTTTATTTTTTTCAAATTACTTTGTCTTTCGTTGTTTGATTATAGTTATCAAAGGTACCAGGATTATAATTTAATGCGCCAGACGCGCGTTTCGTCTACATAAGCTTCATCAGTGACGCTCAGATCAAATAGTTATTAAGCCGAAACAAGTTCAAAGTTAAAGAGCATTTAGGACCCAAAATTCCAAAAAAAATTGTGCCAAATACGGCTAAGGTAATCTATGCCTGGGATAAGAAAATCCTAAGTTTTTCGAAAAATTAAAAGTTTTGTAAACAGGAAATTTATAAAAATGACCAGATGCTGAAGAAATAGAAGTACAAAACAGTATATGAGAAATAAGCTTTTACGTAAAGAAACACTAGCATTTTCAAACCATGCATTTTTTCGAAAGGAATATTGGATTTTATTTGTCCGTTTACACTTTCTTCTATTACACTGGAATCTAAACTGTTGTTTTTTCCTTCCACTACGATTAATATTGTATATTTTACTTTGAGTATCTCCACATTGATTGCATTTCACAGTTTTAGGCAATAAACCTGAGTTTTGACAAAATTCTATAATGCTGTCATCATCTGTTAGAATTTTTCCTAATCCAAATAAATTCAAAGTTTTATATTAACCGCGCTTTTTTCTAGATCTAGTATTAACATTTTCACCACCATCTATAATATTTTGAATATTATTATTGTTAAGGTCACCAACAATGTCAGGCACATATCTACATCATTGTTGTTTATATCAGGCATATCTGCATCTGATTCTTCAAAAACTAAAAATAAACTTTTACTTACACCAAAGTAAGATCTTAAACTCTCTGATTTTTCAACTACGTTGTTAGTTTTTTGTTGACCACAAGCAAAAGGCGATGCTTACTCAGACAGTGAAAATAAACTTTTACTAGGATCACATTCATTGTCACTCTCAAAACCTGTCTTTATATTAAATTGTCCACATTGAAATATGAATCTGATGACACCTCCTCACTTATCTCATTTTTCGGTTTATTAATAACTTTCTGTTTTCTTTAATTCATGTATGTTTGATCCTTACTGGAACATGGACTTGAAGAATTGCCCATGTTAAATCAATATCAATTCCAAATAAACTAAGGAAATGAAATAAATAGTGAGTACATTTCAATTCAATAGTATTCCAATAAATTTAAATGTAACTACTGGATTGTGAAAAATACTCATTTCACAGGTTTTCTAACTATAAATCAGAGATAGGCGTCTTTTAGGGCAGTGTGAAATCGTGCAGTCAAACCCTATGAAATCTAGTCTTGTTATAACTCGTCAACTTCCAAAGAAGATCTATAAGATTTTGTTTAGATGTGCAGAATATTCACGATGCGGAATGTATACATTTCATCTGTACGGGCTTTAGAAACGAGGCAAATATCAAGCTTACTTGGGTTTTTTTTCCCCTGTTTCGTTGTACAAAAATTTGTGTTTTCCCAAAAAATATCCATGTATTGATTTCATTACTTAATTATATCCCTTTCGGGTAAAATAAGCTTATACGTAAAGTTACTGATTTCAAATTAGTTTCACGTGAAACTCGCGTGCATGATATTTTTTCACGTGAAATTCACTTGAAAAGAATTAGGAAATATCGAGTTTGTTTGGAACATGTAATCCGAATTTTAAATAAGTCCGAATAGTTAGTAAAGTTTACAGGCATGATAGGAGTGAATACGGTAAAATCGTTTGTTTATGTGATAAATTGTGTGCTCGTAGAACCAAATTGTTGTTTGACAAATAGAGTGATGCTCAGTATGTTTTTTTGAAATGTGTATTTATAAATACATATGAAGACAATTTATGTATCTATTACTTAAAAGTAATATTTTTACGTGGTTTTTTTAAAGGATTTTGAACGTAATTCGTGTTACTGTCCCACATTCGCTCCTTTTCAAGAGCATGCAGAAGTCGTTGATAGACCATAAAACATCATAATCGCAAATATTGAAAGTTTGTGTTTGATTGTTTTTAAAATGGGATCATATTAGATAAAAATAAAAATTGAATCACAACATATAATAATCTTAAGCTCGGAATCACATAATATTTGTTGGTATATATGCAGATGCATATACGTCAACGTATATGATACGGTTGATACGTTTTTAATGACAAACCTCTATTTGTAGTAATTATATATAGATGGCAACTAGTATAACTAGTTCTGATACTGGTTCTGCAACAGTGCGTACTATTTATAAAGTTTGATGTCAGGTGCATAAGGCACGAGGAAAGTTTTGGCGGTTTCTACGGTTGGGGTTTAATGGTACTATATAAAGTTTGGCATTTAAATGTATAAGTATCGAAGGTGCTCGCAGTTACGTCGAATTGAAGTTGGTCACATTTGTATATATACAGTTGCTGCTATGTTTATGACATGTATTTACATGTTGTTTGAATCGAAGAAATCTGTACAATAAAGTGAAATAAAATATTGTAAAAAATAATAATATGTTACTGCGAGCAACTAATCCTATTTCTGTATATGTCTTGTTTATAGCCTATTGAATTTAGAGATGAAATACTTTAAATTCGGACGAGCAGGGCGAGGGAGAATTTAAATATAATAAAAGTGTTATAAATGTAATGAGATGTACTGTAATATAATTGATGCTTAAGATGTATAAGTAGTAAAATGTGAAAATATGAGGATGTCAAAAAGAAATGGGGTGCCAAAAGAAAAAAAGGTTGTCAGCAGAAAATGGTCTATATGAAAAGCAACTAATTTATTATATTTGTTTTTTCTATATTTTTTTAACATTTTTTTTTCCTATTATTTTTATAATCCCCCAAATAGACCATGCCCCATTTTTTATAAGCTCCTTTTAAAATAAAACTTTTCAGAATGTTTTCTAATCGGGGAAAATATACTTTTGGGTGGGGGTGCCATATGGAACTCTTTCAAAAATATATTTTTCCCCATAAGAAAACATCTTAAAAAGGTTTTTTTAAGGGTAGCGTTATAAAATAAATGGGGCATGGCTTTTTGGGGGGTTAAAAAATAATTGGACAAAAAAATTGTTGATAAAATATAAAATAAAATATATTACACCCACCCTCTCTCCGACAATTAGGCGAGTATTTAATTGAACTATGTCGGACAGGTCTACTGTGTTATTTTATAACATAAAAGTAAACAAAAAACAACTAAAAACAACCTTAATAAAAGAAAATAAAAGAAACAAAGCAAAGCAAAAAAAAAACCAACTAAATACAGGTGAAAGTTCCTATTAAAATGAATAGATATGTCTTGAGTTCATGATATTAGAAATTTCATCATGTTGTTCACCTTGTGTCGTCCGTGATATAATTATAAAATTGATGCATATCTTATTTCTTGGGAAACATGCCAACATCTATCATTCAATTATGCTTCTTTTTGATAAGCTTATGAGACAGCACCATTTGTTCAATTGGAAAATATGTTTAATCTGAACATGCTAAGAAACTTGTAAAACAATACGAGACGAAAATGCGTTATTGAATAAGTATTACCTGTCATTTTGGTTGAGAACTTTGGCTTTATTTACTTTTTTCACCCTGGTAACGGGTTTTCCCAATATCTACTTTTGTTTCTATTTATAGTTCACATTGAATTGATACATGTGATATTTACATTTAAATATACCTTGTAATGACTGTTTTATTTTAACTGAGTGATATGATAAAACATATGTTCTTTCTTTCTGTGTTGTCATATTTAAAAAAAAATTGAATACGACTATACATACTAAATATTTGACTATTTCATAAACATGATAAAACAATATCTGTAAACATGGTAAAATGTAGTTTCGAGCAACACTAACGATGTTGTTTGTACAAACTTCGTAACCACACAAACACACATACGTACATGAGTTAACCACAAACACAAACAGAAATAAAATTAATAAAACACAATGTCTTATACTCGATAATTGATTAGGGCAAAATTCAGAGATATATATATATATATATATATATATATACAAGTCAAAATTGAAAACAACGTTCAAACCTATGATTGCGTTGGATAAAAACCGCAATTTTTATACGTGTGCATGTAAAACAAATTTCTTGTTAGAGGGGTCTAAATACAGCACAAACAACATTTTTCAAAAGAACAAAAAAGTGAAAAAGTATATTTTAACAAAACGCATTTGACTAACAGGTCGAACAACAAATGTTCTTAAATCCTGCTGACTGCCATTGGCGATTGCCAAATAAACGGATCACAAGGTGAAATAAATGGATCTAAACTATAAATTTAATACCAAACATAAAACAATAAACTTGCGGCGAAGATAGTATACCGCAAACAAAGGTGCAAAGATTTTTCGTACACCATATCCGGATTTCGACAGTTAATGTCTCTTTAGTGATGTTAGGAATCGAAACGGTTATTGGAAGGCCACATAATTTACCTCAATTTAGGATAGACTCTTGAATTATGAGGAGTCAAAATAGGATGAACGGATCATATAAACTCTAAGGCAAATATGATACAATCCCAAACGAAAAAATATAAACAAGTCTGAATTGAAAACAACGTTCAAACCTATGATTGCGTTGGATAAAAACCGCATTTTTTTTACGTGTGCATGCAAAACAAATTTCTTGTTAGAGGGGTCTAAATACAGCACAAACAACATTTTTCAAAACACCAAAAAAGTGAAAAAGTAAATTTAAACAAAACGCATTTGACCAACAGGTCAAACAGCAAATGTTCTTAAATCCTGCTGACTGCCATTGGCGATTGCCAAATAAACGGATCACAAGGTGAAATAAATGGATCTTAACTATAAATTTAATACCAAACAGAAAACAATAAACTTGCGGCGAAGATGGTATACCGCCAACAAAAATGCAAAGATTTTTCGTACACCATATCCGGATTTCGACAATTAATGTCTCTTCAGTGATGTTAGGAATCGAAACGGTTATTGGAAGGCCACATAATTTACCTCAATTTAGGATAGACTCTTGAAATTTGAGGACTCAAAATGGGATGAACGGATCATATAAACCCGAAGGCAGATATAATACAAGCCCAAACGAAAAAATATAAACAAGTCTAAATTGAAAACAACGTTCAAACCTATGATTGCGTTGGATAAAAACCGCAATTTTTATACGTGTGCATGCAAAACAAATTTCTTGTTAGAGGGGTCTAAATACAGCACAAACAACAATTTTCAAAAGACCAAAAAAGTGAAAAAGTATATTTTAACAAAACGCATTTGACTAACAGGTCGAACAACAAATGTTCTTAAATGATGCTGACTGCCATTGGCGATTGCCAAATTAACGGATCACAAGGTGAAATAAATAGATCTTAACTATAAATTTAATACCAAACAGAAAACAATAAACTTGCGGCGAAGATGGTATGCCGCAAACAAAGGTGCAAAGATTTTTCGTACACCATATCCGGATTTCGACAATTAATGTCTCTTCAGTGATGTTAGGAATCGAAACGGTTATTGGAAGGCCACATAATTTACCTCAATTTAGGATAGACTCTTGAATTATGAGGAGTCAAAATAGGATGAACGGATAATATAAACCCGAAGGCAAATATAATACAAGCCCAAACGAAAAAATATAAACAAGTCTAAATTAAAAACAACGTTCAAACCTATGATTACGTTGGATAAAAACCGCAATTTTTATACGTGTGCATGCAAAACAAATTTCTTGTTAGAGGGGTCTAAATACAGCACAAACAACATTTTTCAAAAGACCAAAAACGTGAAAAAGTATATTTTAACAAAACGCATTTGACTAACAGGTCGAACAACAAATGTTCTTAAATCCTGCTGACTGCCATTGGCGATTGCCAAATAAACGGACCACAAGGTGAAATAAATGGATCTTAACTATAAATTTAATACCAAACAGAAAACAATAAACTTGCGGCGAAGATGGTATACCGCAAACAAAGGTGCAAAGATTTTTCGTATACCATATCCGGATTTCGACAATTAATGTCTCTTCAGTGATGTTAGGAATCGAAACGGTTATTGGAAGGCTACATAATTAACCTCAATTTAGGATAGACTCTTAAATTATGAGGAGTCAAAATAGGATGAACGGATCATATAAACCCTAAGGCAAATATAATACAATCCCAAACAAAAAAATATAAACAAGTCTGAATTGAAAACAACGTTCAAACCTATGATTGCGTTGGATAAAAACTGCAATTTTTATACGTGTGCATGCAAAACAAATTTCTTGTTAGAGGGGTCTAAATACAGCACAAACAACATTTTTCAAAAGACCAAAAAAGTGAAAAAGTATATTTTAACAAAACGCATTTGACTAACAGGTCGAACAACAAATGTTCTTAAATCCTGCTGACTGCCATTGGCGATTGCCAAATAAACGGATCACAAGGTGAAATAAATGGATCTTAACTATAAATTTAATACCAAACAGAAAACAATAAACTTGCGGCGAAGATGGTATACCGCAAACAAAGGTGCAAAGCTTTTTCGTATACCATATCCGGATTTCGACAACTAATGTCTCTTCAGTGATGTTAGGAATCGAAACGGTTATTGGAAGGCCACATAATTTACCTCAATTTAGGATAGACTCTTGAATTTTGAGGAGTCAAAATAGGATGAACGGATCATATAAACTCTAAGGCAAATATAATACAATCCCAAACGAAAAAAATATAAACAAGTCTGAATTGAAAACAACGTTCAAATCTATGATTGCGTTGGATAAAAACCGCAATTTTTATACGTGTGCATGCAAAACAAATTTCTTGTTAGAGGGGTCTAAATACAGCACAAACAACATTTTTCAAAAGACCAAAAAAGTGAAAAAGTATATTTTAACAAAACGCATTTGACTAACAGGTCGAACAACAAATGTTCTTAAATACTGCTGACTGTCATTGGCGATTGCCAAATAAACGGATCACAAGGTGAAATAAATGGATCTTAACTATAAATTTAATACCAAACAGAAAACAATAAACTTGCGGCGAATATGGTATACCGCAAACAAAGGTGCAAAGATTTTTCGTACACCATATCCGGATTTCGACAATTAATGTCTCTTCAGTGATGTTAGGAATCGAAACGGTTATTGGAAGGCCACATAATTTACCTCAATTTAGGATAGACTCTTGAATTTTGAGGAGTCAAAAAAGGATGAACGGATCATATAAACCCGAAGGCAAATATAGTACAAGCCCAAACGAAAAAATATAAACAAGTCTAAATTGAAAACAACGTTCAAACCTATGATTGCGTTGGATAAAAACCGCAATTTTTATACGTGTGCATGCAAAACAAATTTCTTGTTAGAGGGGTCTAAATACAGCACAAACAACATTTTTCAAAAGACCAAAAAAGTGAAAAAGTATATTTTCACAAAACGCATTTGACTAACAGGTCGAACAACAAATGTTCTTAAATCCTGCTGACTGCCATTGGCGATTGCCAAATAAACGGATCACAAGGTGAAATAAATGGATCTTTACTATAAATTTAATACCAAACAGAAAACAATAAACTTGCGGCGAAGATGGTATACCGCAAACAAAGGTGCAAAGATTTTTCGTACACCATATCCGGATTTCGACAATTAATGTCTCTTCAGTAATGTTAGGAATCGAAACGGTTATTGGAAGGCCACATAATTTACCTCAATTTAGGATAGACTCTTGAATTTTGAGGAGTCAAAATAGGATGAACGGATCATATAAACCCGAAGGCAAATATAATACAAGCCCAAACGAAAAAATATAAACAAGTCTAAATTGAAAACAACGTTCAAACCTATGATTGCGTTGGATAAAAACCGCAATTTTTATACGTGTGCATGCAAAACAAATTTCTTGTTAGAGGGGTCTAAATACAGCACAAACAACATTTTTCAAAAGACCAAAAAAGTGAAAAAGTATATTTTCACAAAACGCATTTGACTAACAGGTCGAACAACAAATGTTCTTAAATCCTGCTGACTGCCATTGGCGATTGCCAAATAAACGGATCACAAGGTGAAATAAATGGATCTTTACTATAAATTTAATACCAAACAGAAAACAATAAACTTGCGGCGAAGATGGTATACCGCAAACAAAGGTGCAAAGATTTTTCGTACACCATATCCGGATTTCGACAATTAATGTCTCTTCAGTAATGTTAGGAATCGAAACGGTTATTGGAAGGCCACATAATTTACCTCAATTTAGGATAGACTCTTGAATTTTGAGGAGTAAAAATAGGATGAACGGATCATATAAACCCGAAGGCAAATATAATACAAGCCCAAACGAAAAAATATAAACAAGTCTAAATTGAAAACAACGTTCAAGCCTATGATTGCATTGGATAAAAACCGCAATGTTTATACGTGTGCATGCAAAACAAATTTCTTGTTAGAGGGGTCTAAATACAGCACAAACAACATTTTTCAAAAGACCAAAAAAGTGAAAAAGTATATTTTAACAAAACGCATTTGACTAACAGGTCGAACAACAAATGTTCTAAAAACCTGCTAACTGCCATTGGCGATTGCCAAATAAACGGATC